CATGGTTTAGTGGTGGCCTTGGCAGTGCTGGGTTAACGGTTGGACTCGATGATCTTAAGGGTCTTTTCCAACCTAAACGATCCTATGACTCTAGTCTGTGATTCTAAGGCAGGTGAGGCATTGTTTCTGTAGATAAGCTAATGATGGCCACGTACTGTTTTATGACTGTGAGTGCTTGTAAACTTATTCAAATGGAGGATGTTCAGGAATTATCCTAAGTTACTTTATTGATGCTGCTTTGGGCATTTTTTTTCCTTTTGGCTAAATAATCTCGAATATACATCTTGATCTATGTTTGCTATTTTTCATTGTTTCTTAAGAACTCAACTTTACTGTCCATTTTCCCGTTCTTTCCAATATAAAGTGGAATGCTTTGAAGCCACGGAAATTCAGTAACTGCCCATCAGAATATAAGGATACAATTACTTTGTGCAACCTTACGTCCACTAGAGATGCAGCGCTCTGAACATCCAGCACAGACACAGGGCAGATAATCTGTGCAGAAACAGGAGGAACACATGGCTGTGGTATCGGTTAGTGGTTGTGGCTGCGTGTGAAGACTTGGATGTAGATCATACGTGCTGCAAGGATATCGATTTCTCTAAAGAGATGACTCTGTCTATCTGCTTGAAATATCTGGAGTACATCAGGCATTCCGGTGTTTTGATATTGAAGTGCATGTAATAAAGAGAAAAATCCTGAATTCTAATGAATGATATGCTAAAATGTTCATGCTTTAACAGGTCTAATGGATGACACTAATCCTCTAATGTCAGCAAGAATATTTACCTTTGCTCTTCAGTGTTCCAATTAAACTAATTCTAGCCATCACTTAGTTTGAAGTTATGCCATGATTTTACAAGCTGGCTCTTTTTACTGTTGTAGGAAGAAGAGCAGCGACTGCTTAAGCTAGAAAAGGAACAACTTCAGATGGAGAAACTACAGAAACAGAAGGAATGCAGGGATACGCTGCTCAGTGCAGCGCAGGAGAAGAAGAATCGTCTTAATGAAGAAAAACAAAGTGAACTTGCCCTAGAGATGAAGATCTTGGAAAAATCTCTTCAGGAACCCCAGGAAGACGCTGAGGAGAAAACAAAAAGAAAAGTAAGGGCTAGAGGTGTTCACTGTGAAGTTGTGGGGCAGTACCTCATTGAGACTAATTTTGTGGCCCTTAGTGAACTGCACAGTATAAATGAGATCAGACACAAGCCCTTTTGTCTGAACAAGTTGATTCTTTTGTTGCATAGCCTGTTGCTTCTCCTCCTGCCAGCGCTTGACCTCTCTGAAGAAGCCCATTAGCTGTTAAAACCACAGTGAGTACTTTGAAGCATGCTTTGCAATCAGCCGGGCTAGACAAAAGAAGGGGGCTCTCAGGAAACCCTGGAATCTTGTCTCTCTTTGCAGATTCCATTGTGTATAAATCACCTGAGCTTTTTCATCTTTACACTGCATGGATGTAACGGCGGTTAGAAAAATGTTTTTTGTTTCGTGGACCTGATTTAGTATATATTTGTAACTGCAGAGGAAAGTAAATATTTAACTTATTCTAATTCATTAATAGTAAAAAACGTTTTTAAATCTTCAATAGCTGAATATATAGATGCAAAAGCTCATGTTAAATATCTTGGAGAGGCCATGGAACCATGGATGTGTCTGTCACTTCCTAAATTTAAAACAAGCAGATTGTCCAACTTCAGGGTGAAAATGAGTCTCAAGGTAACTTTAAGACAAAGCAGGGAGCTGCTTTCATTACTCTGCTCAGGGTATTTAGAAGCTCACGTAGGTTAGGAAAGTTGTATAAACTCACTGTTAGACCTTGGCACAAAATTTATTATTATTATTATTATATTTATAGGTCCCAAGGCTTCTCATGCAGGTGAGGGTGGAGTAGCTTGGTCAGCTGTGGAAAGTCTTTGTAAAATGTTTGTGCTGCAGGCAGCTGAGCTGCTATAGGGGAAGAGACAACTCTACATTTGTTCTGCTCTTACGCTGTTGTCCAGGCGCTGGCGACTGGCCAGGAAGAAGATTCTGCACAACTTTTTCCCAAAACAGGGTTTGGGATGGAGCTCTAGGTTCCCAGTTCTCACATTGTCCGCAAATCACCGCTTCTCTTCGTGTTTGGAAAGGCTTTTTTGAACTCTCTTACTCAGATCTGCAACTGTCTCTGTGTTTGCAGCAAGAGCTGCTCAAGGAGCAACAGACTTACCTGGCACACTTGGCTCGACAGCTGGAGGAGGAGAAACAGCGAGAAAAAGAAGTGGACAAGCTCCTCAAAGAAGAGATGGCGAAGGTTTGGGCCAAGAAGGCTGAGCAAACGCGATCAGAGAAGGAGGCTAGGAAGCAGCTACTGAAAGATGTCCTGGATAAAAGACAACTGCAGCTAGAGGAGAAGTGTAAGTAATAACAGCTCGCTGTGTGTGCACCAAACCTACTGCATGAATGCAAGTCTTGGCAAAGGCAGAGGCAGTAAAACACGCTGCTTTTGGGAAGATCATCTGGCCCAGCACGCACAGGCTGCACGGTTGAGTGGACACCAATGCCACTGTCTCTGAATCCGCTTCTGAAGCTTTACTCCTACAGGCATTCCTTACACTCATTTCCCATCACCAGAGCAAAGCCTAGTAAAGTAAGGATTGCATGAACAAGCAATCATTATTATTAATTATCTTCTTCTTCTTCTTCTTATTATTATTATTATGAAGTTCTGAATGTGAAATCTTTTTCTATTCTGAGTGGATGGAAAAACAAATAAGCTGAGAATACGCTTGCCGTTGTTTGTGTACCTCTTCAGAAGCAACAAAACTCAGACTTGCTATTTAGGCTACTTGGCTTCAATACAGTCTCGCTGTCCCTTCAAGCTTAGCAGTGCTGTTGCCTTCTAAAAGTATTTATTTATTATTTTTTTTGCAGTGCAGAGAAATGCAAAGGAACAGGAAGAACTTGTTCAAGAGAGGAAGTTATTAGCTGAAGCAATCACAGAACTCAAGCATATAGAAGAAGAAAAATATGCGAGGTATTTTTCTTTTATGCCATTGATTCACTTCACTGCAGATCAATCTTTTAAACTTGTGAGTAGGCTAATTCTCATTTTCAGGTAACTCGAAGAACACTGGGTGGGCTTTCTTCTGTTCAGAGAGGCTCTGCTCCAAACTGCTCAATAGCAGCCCTGTTATATTGCAATTGGTATTAAATCACTAATTCTGACCTCATCATACAAATAATGGTGTTTCGTTACATATCCTGGTTTTGGTCTTTTTGGACCATCATGTGACGTACACCCATCATGTTTATTAAATACATCCTCTCATACTCCGAGCTGTTATTAGGAGTGGCAGAGGTTTGGGGAGGCGGGTTAATGAAAGGATAGTTGGTTACTTACCTAGGCGAACTCGTGTGTTCAGGCTCGTTGCTAAACTCCACCCACACACATCCCTTAAACCATCAGTCAGCCAGCCACCAAAATACCAGACTACTGCACGTAACCCAGCTGCATGGGCTTCTGCTTACCGTACGGTTCCTCAGGGTGAGAATATAGTTATACGCAGTAGCTGAAACGTTCCTCTGGGTGTCATGAGAAGCCTAGGGCAAAGGGCTTTATTTCGCTTCGTTTCCGTTTTGTACTCCCGTCCTTTCTCCACACTTGTCCGTGGGAGGTGACCAAGTAGCTCCTTCCAGAGCCAGTATCTGTTGTGTTCTCCGATGGTTTTACTGGTAACGATCTCCTGGATGTGGCAGAAATCTCACCCTTCTGAGGGAAACACGCTGGGCTTCATTTGGGCTATGCTTCACTTGGCAAAGATGGCATTCCGTGGCGTCAGTACGCGCTGCGTGGTTCGGCTGTGTTGCGTTAGCGCACAAGTCTTGACTAGACCGTTGGCATTTTACGTGTCGGTGTGCCTCAGCGTGTAGGTAGGCTTCCACCGCTGCTCCAGAGGGTAGCGAAAATAATACGTGAGTCTTGAAGTAGAATGGAAGAATGATTTCTTCTGACAGCCATTTCCTAGAATGTTAGTACAACGCCGCGGCGGGAGCCTGCGCCCTGCCTTCCCCGTTGGCAGTAACTTGTTATTTTCCGAATGAGGGAGTGGAGATGGGGTGTAAGGCTGCTGCAGCAATGAGCCCGAGCTAGCAAAGGGCTGAGACCCGACACGCTCATTCTCTGTCCTCTCACTGTCACCGTCAGGGGCAGGGAAGGCGTGCTGGTTACCGGGGATTGTCCTTGCTCTTTTTTTTTTTTTTTTTTTTTTGTTAAGCACTGATTTGCAATCTCCTTTATAACATACAACAGAATGCAGTTCATTCTCTGAAGAACATAAGGTTAGCACGTAGCATTTGGTTAATAGAGTGGTAGTTATTCTTAACACCTAAAAAGAGTTTTGAATGGTTCTTTGGTCTAAGGTTGAATGCTAACAGATTAAATAATAATAATAAAGCTGTTTATTTTTGTTACCCACACTTCATGAATAAGCTATTTCATTTCCAGAAAAGTAAAGGAAGCAAAAGAATACCAAGAGCAACTCAGGGCTCAAATTGCCTATCGACAACAGGCCCGTGATGCTGAGGAAGAAGAGAAGCGTCGAGAATACGAATCAGGTCTAGCAGCAGAGAGAGCTTACCAAGAAAGGGTACAGGACGTTCTAGCAAGGCCTTGTGAGAAACTAGCAAAGACCCACCCTTTGAGAAGAAAACTAATGTCTAACTCTCAAGAAGACCATCTACAATGATTTTTTTAGCTCACTTGATTGCCTTAAAAACCATTTTTCTACGGGTGTTTATAACTGACTTGAGTTAGTGGACCCCTCTCCGCTGTGATGCTCAAAATATTTAACTGGCAAATACAAGAAACGTGGTATTTTTAAAGGTTATTTTTTCCCTACTGGATTTTCTTTGACAAAATGACTGATCCAAATCAAACTGTTTGACATTTTAATACAAGAATACTGTGTGTCCTCTGCAGTATAGTAATATATTATGATGTGAATGATATGCAGGCATTCTTTAAAATCTGCACAAAGAAAACTTTGTAGAAGAGTTTCAGCAAACTTTTATTAAAATGCCTTTCAAACTGCAAATATTTGCAAAACCTTTTTTGTATTTAGACAAAAAATACTTGGTGACTCATCTTTGTTTTCCTTGTTAAATATAAAACTATGAATCTATTTTACTATGGGCTAGCTAGTAAAGAGCTGTTATTGCTTTGCATATATTCTGATTGCTATTGAATGATCTGGGGAATATCGGAGTCCTGCGAGACCTCTGCTTGGAGAGATTTAATTGTGCAGGACTGAAGTCATCCTTTTCTTGCAAAAAGGGTTATTATTTATCATTTTGATGCCAACCCTGCCTCTTTGGACTGCCTTGGCTTGCCACCAGTGCCAGAGTCTGAACTCAGGGAATGGCGAGGCGGCGGAGCACCAACAGTATTTGAAGACAGAGCAACACCAAAAGCAGCCGGATGTCAACAGGAAGGTCTCAGAAGGGTTTTGGCAGTGGGGAGAGGAGGGGACACCTCCTCACTGCTCTCTCACCTCCCCATGTTAATGGCCAGATTGCCCTTCAGGCAGGAGGAGCAGTGGGTGACACAAGGAGGACAGGCGGGAGCAATCCAGCTTCTCCCTGTGGCATTGACCTCGACCAGCTCCCTGGAATGTATTTCATTCGTTTTTCCTCTGTGGTTTTAAGAGGAAGGAAGTGAAGAATCCATTTACAACCTCATATCCTTTCTCGCTCGTAGACGTTGCGGCATTCAGAAATGTTTTATCTTCTTCCTTACGTTTTTCCATCTGCGTCTTTGCTGCTGCTTCTCTGCTGATGTTTCTCTCTCTTCCTTCAGCTTTTCAGCTTCTACCATCATTCCTCCACCCCTTGCTTTTCCACCCTTTTCTTCTCCAACTTCCATCCCTCACTAAGCACTTTCTCTACCTTCTTCCTCCTCCCTACCTTCCCCTTTCAGTGTTTGGCTCCCTGCTGGCGAGTACCAGGACTCTTGCGTTTTTTCGTTGTGTGGGAGCATGAACGGACGCACAGAGAAGCTGATAAATGGCTGGGATCGGAGCCCAGGAGTCCCAGCTCCCAGGCCTCTTCGAGTGAATCGGGAATAAACTGCCTTCACAGTCGCCTCATCTTCTAGGTTTAAAGCAGACGCCAAGTTGACAAACGCTTTTTGTCTGTGGAGAAAGCTGTGCAGCTGTTTGCAAAAGGCCGGGTAGAGAAATATTAACCTGAAACAGTATCAGTGATCTTAGCAGAGCAACCCAGCTAATTATGGGTGTAAATGGCAGAAGAACCTGGCCCGAAGATGTTGCCCTGCTGAGGAGCACAGCACTGAGTGTGGTGGGGTTTTATCCTTGCTTACGGACAAAACCTCTCCGAGAGCAGCTTCCTGAGACAGCCGATGGAAGAGGGGCAAGTTCACACCATCCAGACGGAGCAGAGTGGAGCCTCTTCGTGTCTTGTTCTTGGTATCACTTGTATCCAAACAGGGTCTGTCTCCTACAGTCATCGAGAAAGGAAACACTGCAAACCAGGAGAGGCGGGTGGTTAGTCGTGACGTCTAGCCCTCGCGCAGCGCTTTTCAGCAGCCATCTCCAAAGCCACACAGAGGACTTCAGAGCCGCTCCTCCTATTTTGCAGGTGGGAAAGGCCAGCCCAGATAATGGAAATAGTTTCATCAGTTCAGAAAGCTCAGGTAGTCGTCGGTCTCTGCTCTCGCCGCCGGGTCAAATTGGCAGAATGATTAAGAGATTAATTTCCTGGTCTGCCACGGGCTCCTGGTGTGGCCCCGCGCAAGCAATGTAGATTTTTCTTTACTGCTGTGACCCCTCTTTGAAATATGAGCATAATAGCACATTCAGAATTCCAGGATTAATTAAAGCGTGTTATTAAAGGCTGTGACACTGCCGCTGGGTACACCTAATAAGAGAGACAAAAAATACCACCTTGGTGAGCTCGGTGAATTTGAGCCATCCAGAAGCACAATAAATCTTTTTTTTTAATAAAATAGTAACTCAGAAGAAGTGGCCAGAGTTATCAAGCATTTATAAAGTGTCTGAGCCCCTGCTCCTGGAGGCAAAATTCCTCTGCAATGAACGTGAAGTCTGCACAAAAAGAAGAGACTGGAAGAGGTTTGCCTTCAGCAGAAACGAATTCCCGTGGGATAACAGGCAACCAAACTCTTCCAAGAGAAAACTGGTAGTCGATGAACATGTTGCTGGGGCTGACCCCTTTGCCGTTGAGTCCTCTGTAGACTTCAGGTTGGTCTGGAAGAAAGGATACGGCTCATACCAGGCTGCTGAGCGGCTGGGTGGGTCAGCAGACTCCTTTAGAAGCATCCTCTCCATACCCCCAAGTAAGAATGATTTTCTATGTCAAGACTGAAGAATTTCCTTAATTGTGGTATCCCCCCCTGAGTGTTTGGGGGATCCTGGAGCCAAACTACCTATTAAACCAAGAGTGCAGGGACACCACCACTCCTGGTCCATGGCTGGGTGATCTCCTCCTGCACCAGGGGTGTGAGCAACCCAAAGACAAAACCACTGGCATTTAAAAACCAGGCAGTTACACCCTCTTCACTTATACAGGCACTAGAGCTTTAAAAAATATGCTTTCCTGTATTTTTTATTACATTTTTCACGTTGGTGGAGAAAGTGCAGAGGTGTGGACTGTGTCGGTGACTTGCCTGTGGCAGAGCCGGCAATGGTTGTACCCCATCACATCTTCCCGGACCCACTCCAAGGTCTGAACCCCTGGCACTCGCCAAGGCTTTAAGACTTTTCTGCATCCACCTGTCTGCTCGTAAGGGCCTTTGATGACCCCGGGACATCCCATGGTGATGCTTTTGGCCATGTGTGAGGCGTTGAGCTGGGGAGCGGTTCCTGGTGCCCTGCGGCATGGTGCTGGCTTGGTCCGTGCTCCCTGGGGCCAGGCTGGAGGCTCGCTGCAAAGCTACATCCGGCTTTGGACAGAACCAGTTTTATTTGCAGGAAAATCCTTCTTTGTTAATTATTTATTGCTTTAACACTGTGATTAATTTTTCATTACTTTAACCCAGGTAGGAACGCTTGCTGCAGAAATGGCCACTGCAACCATGGCCAGGGTACGGTGACACCGCAGCCCCAGCCAGACCCGAGGATCGTGCCCAGACGTAGCACATGGTGACTTCTGCATGGCTTCGAGGTCTTTGCGACAACTCTGCATGTAAAAATTCAGGACCTGGGGTTGTATTTAGCAACAGTCAACTCTGTCTTGATGACATTTGGAGCTATCAGAATTGATGCTCCGTATTTTTGCATTACCTGCTACCGTGCCCCGCACAGATGATGTCACATACAAGAGCCATCCAGCGAAGCACAAACCTTTCCCTGCAAACCTTTATACACATGCAGAGACTTTAAAGTCCTTTGAATTGTGCAGATATTGCCCCTAATTTTGAGGAATAAGGTTGACTCAGCTCTCATTTTACCCCCGGCCCACTGCGCTCTCAGCAGTAGATCCTGCTCCAAAGTATTTCTGCGGAGGATTTTGGGATGGGGTTATCGGTGTTAACGTTCTGCTCGTGCATCGGAATTCAACGCTGCTGCTGTAGATTGGGGGTCAGGGCATTTCACTGCAGAAATGCTGGTTTCTGCTGCCCGTCTGAATTCAACGGCAAACTCGCCTGCGCTCCTCTACCTAAATAAAACCCCAAAGCTGATGTGGAATGATGGGGTGGGTGTTGCAGAGCAGATAACTCCGCTCCTAACCTCCAGCGCCCCTCGCCGCTCCGTGCTATCGTCCGTCCGTCCACCTGTCTGTCCCTGGGGTCTCCATGTGTCATTGCAACAGAGGGACAAGGCTGGGACCCGTGAACATCTCGGGGAGCAAACGCATCTCCAACACCAGTCCTGTACTTGCAAGGAAGCCGCTGGCTCTGCTTAGAGAGGAAAAAACATGGTATTTGGTTCATTTTCACCTCTTTGATATGAATGCAAGTGCCTTTGACGTGAATGCTAAGAGGTGGTACCATAAAATTCTATTTAAGAGCCAGTGCTCGTTAAATATTATGATCCAACACAAGTTTTGATTCCCAGCAACTCAGCACTTAGGACACGCTTCAGGGATTTTGTATGTATTTTGGGGTTTTTATTTTCTAACTTTTTAGTTAAAGTTTTAGATTATGATAAATTTGATGGAAAATCACACACGGCACCAGCTGGTATTTCATGGGAACGGCTGTGCTTTGCCTCTGGGCTATCACTACTACCCAGGCTCCGCTGAAACCTTTGCTCCCGATTGCGCCGGTACTTCACGTTTTGTTTCTACAATTGATTTAATAAAAGGAGAAGAGCAAGTTTTGTTTGCCCAACAAAGCTATCTTGGAGGCTTGGCAGAGATTACGCCGTCAAATGTGTTACCCAGGGTCATTTCTAGACAGGGTGCAGATTTTTCTCCCCTTCTTTGCTCCTTCCCAAACTTCCCCCAGAGCCACCTGCAATTTATTTGGATTCACCAAGGACATCAGAGCTGGAAAAGAGAGACATCTGCGATGTTGGCTGTCCTCCCACCAAATCGGCGCTGCTCCCTACTGGGCTCTGGGGTGGCTAAGGGAAAAGATGGCAAAAGGGGGAGTTTCACCCCCAAAAAGGGGCGAGGAGCAGAGGGTGAGGTGCCACCGGCAATGGCTTTAAAGAAAGACTGCGGGTGCCCTGTGAGCAGGAGGGATCCCCGCTCACGGAGCAAACAACTG